GACCACACTGGGGAAACTGCTGCTGAGTCCTTTCCCTTCTTCTCAGGCCTCTCCTGCACCCGAGTCAGCTGCCTTTCCTGCCATGCTCCCATCTCCAAGGGAAGAACCAAATGCTGGGAAGCCCAGTCATCAGTCGGCCTCATTCCCACCCAGGCAGATCCACCCACAGCCACTGAGCAAAGCTGCGGCCCCTCAGACTAGCCTCCAGGTCCATCCCTCCTCTGCCAGGCACTCAGCAGCTTGTACCAGCAGGACCCATCCTCACCCTCCAAAGGACAGATCTCAGCCCTGTCCACTGACAGCTTTGCTCCCCCAGGCCACGCTGAAAGCCTTGCACACACCATTTCATTTAATCTGCTCAGCAACTTCCCATTTAACAGATGAGAAAAACGGATTCCCATCTGAATCTGCCAGGTGGCAGAGCAAGGATTCAGAACCAAATTTGCCTGACTAAGGTCTCATGTTCTCCCTTTTTCATTCTATAAACCCACTGGTGAAGCCCAAAAGACTCCTTTTTTAAATTTAATTTAATTTATTTAATTTAATTTAATTTTAGAGATAAAGGGCTCGTTTTGTAGCCCAAGCTGGTCTTAAACTCCTGGGCTGAAGCAGTCCTTCCACCTTGACCTCCCAAAGTGTTGGGATTACAGGTATAAGTCACCACTCACAGTCCCAAAGGGCCCCTTTTGTGTCTGTGTTTAAATGCATAAAATAAAATACAGAGAATTACAAAGGAAACTACTTTATTAAAATATGTACTTCTTTATTAATGGTTTAAACAACAAGATATAGCAACAGATTTAAACGTTGCCAGAATGTTGAAAATTGTTGATGTGTAGTTGTAATATGATGTGAAAATATCATGTGAAAACTATTGGTGAAAGAATATCAGATACTGTGGTTTGTGGCCTACATTCATAATCAAAGGAAATGCTACATTTCAGTTAGTGCTTAGTAGAAATAATATGTGCTTTTTTTTCATCCAAGTTTATGAACCCTTGAATTCTATCTACAGACTCTGGGTGTGAGGATCCAGGCAGGAATGCCTGGTCTGTTAAGATCCGTGCTCTAGGGCCAAGGCCTTCAGTAAGATCTGGCTCTGGCTCTGATGTGGGCTGTCAAGTCCATGAGAGGAGGGAAGCCCTCCTATCCCAAGGCCTTGGGGTTCTACTTCTCTGGGGAAGTTGGAGGCTGCCAGGAAAGTAAGTCCCAGTATGTAACACTAGCAAGCCCCTCTGAAATAGGGCTGACTCTTTTACCTGGATCTCACAGTGCACTGGGGTGATGCTGGGAGCCCTTCCAGTGGCAAGCACTCGGCTTGTGTGATACACAGTTCTTTCACTGCATATATATTTAGTAAGAACCCTACTTTGTGCCAGGTATTGGCAAGACCCCGTGAAGTCCATAGGCTGGTGGAAAGACAGCCAAGAAGTGGGCCTGGCGTGGCCGGTGGGCCCAGTTTTGGGGCACATGAGCTTAGTCTTCTTTGATCTAGGGGCTGAGTGAGGTGGCAGTACTGGAGTCGGGTTTCTCACACACTTCCCTTGAGGCCCCAGCCTGGAGAAGTCCAGACCATGCCCAGCAGATGTTCAGCTAAAAAGGAGGAGAGAGGACATGGCAGCCTCCCTCTTCTGTGTTACCACTGAGATTGGAAAGGGACAGTTAATCTGGAGGGGACTGAGAGATGGGGCCAGGGAAAGCAAGCCGTGCAAACAGAAGTCTACAGAGGAGAAGAAAGAGCACTTAGTTCTGCACCACCCTCTAAAAAGTGAGAGCGCTCACTCATAGACCCTCTCCCCACTGTCCGTCTGAAGTGGCCAGGAAGGAAAGACTGCAATACCCCAGACCCTTTAATAGCATCTTGCTCCCTGAACCTTGGTTTTGCCGCTAATTTCTGCAGTCTGGCCTTGGCCCTGGCCCCAGCCATGACTGTTGCTGTTTCTCCCACACCAGCCCTCTGGACCATGAAGTTAGCACAGCCCTCCCTGAAGTTGTCATCCAGAAGTTAATATACAAGTCAGTTAGTGCACAGACATTACTAAAACAGCAGCAACAGAGAATTGTAAAATAATTAAGGAGGTCTTTCAGGGTGGCAGCCCCTGAAAGGGTCCCCCATTCCACAGTCTGGCCCCTAAGCTGTGCAGGACAGAAGTTCAATTTGATCTCTGCTATGAGAGCCGAACTCATGACAACCACACCCCTAAGAGGTTCCTGTTAGTTGACCAGAATATCCACTCCTTCCTAGATAGTAGGATCACAGGATGACGGAAAGTTAGTTAGTGAACATGGAATCAGACAAAATAGGCCTGAGGGATTTTTCATCGACCAAGCACATGGATGCACTGTTCCCAGAGCCCATCTCTTGGGCCCACCAGGCAGACCAGGCTATCCCCCTTCCTTGGTAAGCCTTTCCCAGCTCTGGTTATACCACTGATTTGGCTCCAGCTTTTTTTGCAGTAGTCAGGCCTAAATTCAGTTTCAGATCCCCGTCATTCCTCCTGGAGGAGACGTCTGACTCCAAGGCCTCTGAATGTGCCGCTGGAGATGCCCCTTGACAGAGGACGCCCTAACACAGGCACCCAGTCCTGCTCACAGTGCCCATGTGGCCCTATGGGTGACTAATTGGTGTCATGCCAGAAAGAGCAATTTAAGAAACATACTTTAAAAGAATCCTTGCCTGAGACAGTCTCTTACTGAAAACAGATTCCAGCCTAGTTAACAGGTGAGCTGTGGCACTAATTTGCCCGCCTGAAAGTGCTTATTAGATCATTAAAACGGCAGTGAGTGAGGCAGTGTTATCCAGCAGAAGAGCAGGAACCAAAAGGACATGACTGAATGAATTGCTTCAGGGTATTTTAGGGAGTGACTTAATTTCTCTGAGTCTATCAAATGAGCACAGCTATGCTGGCTTCTGGTGTCTTAGGAGTCAGAGACCATGCAAGGATAGAGCCCTGGATCCAGCGGATTCTCCATACATGACAGCTGCTGTTGCTGCTGTGGAATTTAAAATTTTCATTTTCTAGACAGCCCACTTTGAATGGGACTTTTGCGAACTGTCTTAATTCTTGTTTCCCGGCGGCTGTGACAAGTCCAGCAGTGTCTGTTTTAGCTTCTCCAGTCCATTTCTGTTCGCAGAAAGCAAGCCATCTAGCATTATCTCAATAGAAAGTATTTGTTTAGGTTTCAGTTTTCCACATTAACTTGTAGTGGTGGAACTAAATGAATATTTTAAATTCTAAGAAATTGTTTTCTGCAATTAAGAGACTATTGAGAGTTTAAAAAGCCTGGCACAGTGGCTCACACCTGTAATCCCAGCACTATGGGAAGCTAAGGCAAGAGGATCGCATGAGGCCAGGAGTTCAAGACTAGCCTGAGCAACATAGCAAGACCCCATCACAACAGAAATAAAAGATAAAAATAAATACTGGGCACGGTGGCATATGCCTGCAGTCCTAGCTAAGCTACTCAGGAGGTTGAGGCAGGAGGATTGCTTAGGCCCATCAGTTTGAGGCATAGTAAGCTATGATTTTGCCACTGCACTCCAGCCTGGGTGACAGAGCAAGACCTCATCTCAAAAAAATAAGTAAATAAAATTTAAAATTTTTTAAAAAGAAACATAATTCTGCAGTTTAAAATTTGGGACACATGTCCTGTGGGAATAATGTTATTCAGGTGGCTGGTGTCCCAGACTGCCCACTGGTTTCAGGCTCGAACTCTACAGTTGGGCTTTAGTGCATATGAATCACCCAGGGATCTTGTTAAAATGCTGAAACAAATTCAGTTGGGGGCAAAAGGGACTGGGAATTGACATTTCTAACAGCTCCTGGGTGATGCCCACGATGCCCATCCAGGACCAGTTTGTGTAGCAAGGATGGAGCGGGAGAAGCTGGCATTACTTAGGGATGAGAACAGTGAGTGAGGCGTTGTCCTAGACAGGGCAGAGGGAGCAGGGGTTCTAGTGAGGTGAAGGAACAGGACTGGAAGGATTGGAGGAAATGGGGAGAGGGTTCCTGACTGGTGTAACTTCCCAGGCACTTCCTGGCCATCGTCTCTCCTGGCCCTGGTGTTTGCCAGGCTGCCCTCTCCTCCCTGCCCCCTAACCCACCTGGGGTCCCTAAACTCTCCTACCCAGCTACGGAATCTGGCCTTCCCTTTGTTCTCAGAGCAAGCACACTCTGCAGAAAGGCTCTTCTTTCTTATTTTCTTTGTATATAATTTTTTTACCCAAACAAAGGTAAGACAGTCTCTTGTAAATGAAGTGCATTTCTAGTAAACGGCCTGGGAGTCCTAGGTCTGACTTCTCGTTCCCCCTCTGTTTGTGCTTAGATCCTCTGAGGAAATGCTAAGGAGCACAGAGATAGGGATGGCTGGTCTTTGAGTGCTCCAAACATAAGGTTGACCCCCACACGTCCACCCCGATTTACCTGCTGCTCCCCGCTTTCCACTTTACATTCTCCGTGTCCTCTCCCTGGAGGACTAGGAACTTTGAGGGCAGGACTAGAAGTAGATTCATCTTCATATTCCTGCAGTACACACACAGACTTGGGCGAATGTCAGGAAGAATGGGAGGAGAAAGCCAGAGGGGTGGGAGAGCAAGAAAGGATTGTCATGGAAATTAGCGAGCAGGAGAAGCCACTTGAAGTGAATTTGTTTTCAGTCAAACTTGGCCAGGATATATCCACATCCGAGCAGTTGTGTGAGACTTTCCTGCTTAACCAGGCCCACCTGGGTGGGTCATGGCCTGCTGTGGTGGGTGGGGGAATGGAGCCAAGTAAGGCACTGGATGTGGCCTCCATTCTCTCCGAGCACCTCGGCTCGGAAGCCCCTCTGCCGGGATCCTTCCAGAACAGTAACGTTTTAGCAGTGAGGTGTAAAGGTAAGCCCATCTCTTTTAAGAGTTGAGCTAGGTGGAGCTGTCACTTTGGTGGGAAAGTGAAGGCAGATTAGGACAGTATTACTAAGATTACATCTAATACATGATCGCATTCTTGTTTTTCCAGATTTATCAGCAAGACTGTTGAACGCATAACTGCCCAAGATGCCCGTCCCTCCCCCTCCAGCACCCCCGCCGCCCCCGACGTTTGCACTGGTGAGTGTCTCCTCGCTTTCTATGCAATCACTTTCTATGCATAAAGCAAGCCAAATGAAGCCAAAACCTGGCACGCATGTGTTTGTATTAAATGTGTTTGCATTCTGGCTTACATGTGATACAACAGGCTTTCCTTGTGCCCAGAGTAAGCCAAACCCTGAAACCCAGCAAATACAAACAACACGAAGGGTTTTGTTTGTTTAAGGTCTCATGTGATGGATAGTACAAGGGTGGAATGTGGCTGATTAGGTGTTTTCTGCCGCATCTGTGCAGGGAAATGTGCTGGCCTGAGATAGGGTTTGCAGGAGCAATTCTGAGTGTGCACTGTTCTCATTCAGATGAACTCAATGTCTGGCCTTTAACTTCTGGGCTGGACAGTCTAGAAACCCAGGTCTCTGCCTGCGGTGCATTCCATTAAAGTGTCTTCCAGTCTCACTCCTTTCTTTTTTTCTGCCTTTTCCCCTCTTTTTCCCAATCTGTTTTTGACAAATATCTCACCCCACCACCTCTCCCACACACATTCACATCCTCCTTTAAATCTATACTTGCATTTAGGCATTTAGATGTTTATTTCCCGAAAGAATTTCTTCACTGGATTAATCCTGGTCTTTTTTTTTTTTTTTTTTTTTTTTTTTTGAGTCTCGCTCTTTCGCCCAGGCTGGAGTGCAGTGGCATGATCTCGGCTCACCGCAACCTCCACCTCCCATTCAAGTGATTCTCCTGCCTCAGCTTCCCAAGTAGCTGGGACTACAGGCACGCACCACCATGCCCAGCCAATTTTTGTATTTTTAGTGTAGACAGGGTTTCACCATGTTGGCCAGGCTTGTCTTGAACTCCTGACCTCAGTTGATCCACCTACCTCAGCCTCCCAAAGTGCTGGGATTACAGGTGTGAGCCACTGTGCCTGGCTCATCCTGCTCCTTTGATAGACCTCTTTGGGGAAGTTAGTGTGCCCTCTTCCCAGGAATTTGGCAACCCTCCACTTGGTCATATGGAAAGGCCCCAAGATAAACTCTGTTACAAAGCCCTCTCCAGCTTGTGAAGCCTTCACTGAGGAGGAGCCTCACACTGATGGTTCCTTCATTTTCACCATTTTCACATGGGGAAACTGAGGCTTGGAGAGAAAGTTTCTTGCCCCAGGTTTCCATGAGACGCATTTATATAACTCATCTGAGGATGATACCTAGTGAGAAGAACTGCCCATTAATTAGCTTATTGTTACTCAGAGTGTGGCCTTCCAACTACTTTTTAAGAGTCCCCAAAGTGATGAGGACAAAAATTGAAAGTAAGCATTTAGAAGCATTTCTAGCAATTTGACAGTAGTTTTCTGTCTGTTTCTAAGATTGGATGTTGTGTGTCTTTTTTAAAAAACTAATTCGTTTTTCTAATAATTCATTGTTATTTTACAAAAGTGTCAGTTGCTGATGAAAATATTTTTCAAAAGACTGGTCCTCGGCCAGGCGTGCACTGTGGAAGGATAACTTGAGCCCGGGAGTTCGAAACCAGCCTGGGCAACATGGCAAGACCCCCATATCAACAAAAAAAATCTTTTTAATTAGCCAGCCAGACATGGTGGTGCATGCTTGTAGTCCCAGCTACGCTGGAGGCAGAGATGGGAGGATTGTTTGAGCCCAGGAGGTCAAGACTGCAGTGAGCTGTCATTGCACTACTGCACTCCAGCCTGGGTGATAGAGCAAGACTGTGTCTCAAAAACAAAACAAAACAAAAACAAAACGCTGGTCCTTCACATGGATAAGTTTGAGAACCTCTAATCTAGCTAACATAGCAGGATTCATTTATCCATATTTCCCCAAAAGTATGGGTTATAGTGAACTGACTTAATAAAAAATATTAAATAAATAACACAGGTGGTATGAGAAGATGACAAAAATCATGAATCTTATACCAGAATGCTTGAAGTTTGGAAAACCTTGTTTATCTTATCAACTCATTTCTATCTGTTATTACCTAATTCAAAGCAAGACTGTGGATAAATAGAATATAGAGATGAAGAAAGGGAAAAGGTGGGTTGGTGGCCATCATAGACCACTGCCTTTGTGAAACAACATAATTAAGGGCCCTGAACACGAGAGAAGTTAGCACCTAGGGAGGTCAGCTGTCAAAATAAATTTTAAGGCAGAACAGGAGGCTGCTGAAGGTTGCTAACCCAAAACTGTTCAGAGATCCACTGTGACACATCACTTAACCTCTCTAGGCCTCAGAGTTTTTTCATCCTTAAAATGAAGACAGCAGGTAATGTTAAGAGCTCTTTCCAGGACATCCAAAGTATGTTAAGTTGAAAACAAACAAGTTTCAGAACAATAGAGGAGAATCCCATTAGCAAAAGCAAACTGTGTTTGCAGAGAGCATTTCTGGAAGGACAGCAGAGAAACTTTTGACAGGCTTGCTTCAGCGGTATGTTGGGGCTGATGGGGATGAGCATTTTGGAGCCCATATTTACCCTTCTGTCAGCTTGTAGGGAAGGCTCTTGACTGCCAGGGTTTAAATCCCAGCTCCTCCTCAACTAACTAGGTGACCGGGGCAAATGATTTAAACTCCCTGTACTTCAGTTTCCTTGTCTGTAAAATTGAAATGACTCACAGGGTTGATAAGGGCTAAATGAAGTAATACACATAAGGTGCTGAAAACAGTGCCTGGCACAGAGTAAAAGCTATATATGTTAATGATTATTATCATAAGCAAGTAATACTTTATCATTTAGTTATTTCAAGATGCTTCCAACTTTACCGTATTTTACAGTAATTCTGTTTACACAGTATAATTCCAGCTACACAGTAATTCTGGTTAGCCCACTTCAGGGTTTTTCTGAGTTCTTCCTTTGCCTCTAACTCTGCTAATAAAAGGCTGAGTTAGACCAGGAGCAGTAGCACGCGCCTGTAATCCCAACTACTCAGGAGGCTGAGGCAGGAGGATCACTTGAGCCCAAGAGTTTGAGGCTGTAGTGCATGATGATCACACCTGTGAATAGCCACTGCACTCCAGCCTAGGCAACATAATGAGATTCTGTTTCTTAAAAAAAAAAATTGTTTTTTAAAGGCTGGGTAAGGTATTGAGCCATACATTTCCCCAGCTTTTCCTCCTGTGGCCCTCACTGGCAAATCTGAAATCATATCCCCATCAGAAGGGCTGGGGCCAGCCTAGAAAGGACCCGTGGGTTTGGGGCAGCCAGACTCTCCCTGGGACAGACAAGACCTAGCCAGTTTCCAAATGTGAAAGACACAGGCACACAGGCAGGTGCCTACATCTAAGTCCTTTTGCTGGACACTCCCTGAAGGAGCAGGATCCCAATTTCATAGTAGGTGGGGATCTTTCATAGGAATTCTGGAAATACAAGAAAATAATCAAACATGTTAAAGTAGCACTTGTATCCATTCTGCAATTTCCATGAGCTAAGCTTTCATCAGAATTAAACATCAGAAACACCTCATGCCAACGGGACATGAGGGAACTTTTGAAGTAATGAAAATATTCTATATCTTGATTGTGATGGTGGTTTCACAACTGTATATATTTGTCAAAACTCACAGAACTGTAACTAAAAAGGGTAATTTCACTATATGTAAATTACACCTTAATCTGACTTAAAAAGAAAAAAAGCATCTTTGGCAATATACACAGTGGGAATTATTTTCTAGAACTTTAGTGGGTTTAAAAAACATACAGCTGACTCTTTTTGCTAGAGACAGTTTTTCCCTTGCACTGGGTTAGTTCTAAAAGATGGGAAAAGGAAGTTATTCTTCAGGGTACCCTCTAGTGAATGAAGCCTGGTAATGTCCTGCAGAACCCTCCCAGACTTAAACTTCTTTTCTCGTGTCTAGTCATCTCACTCTAACCTGGCCCTGTTAGTTTCAGTCAGATTGTGGTCTGAATTTTCAGAGACTTTAATCAAGGACTGACTCTTCCTCCCTTAAAAATGAACATAATTTATTGCTGCATCTGCTTCCAAATGTCTGGATCTTAAAAAGAATGATATGGGTTCTAAAACTTGTTGAGAATTTACAACCTGTCACCAAGAACCTTAATAACAAGCTTCCCGTACCCAACCTTTCCCAGCCAAGTGTTACAATATATGATTTTAACCCAAGAGATGACTACTTGTTTGTATGGCTTCCTTTCAGGCCAATACAGAGAAGCCTACCTTGAATAAGACAGAGCAGGCTGGGAGAAATGCTCTCCTTTCTGATATCAGCAAAGGGAAGAAACTAAAGAAGACAGTCACCAATGACAGAAGTGCACCAATATTAGACAGTAAGTAAAAAAAGCTATTTTCCATGAAGAGGAACAGTTTACGGCCTAATAATCAACCCTACCCTCACCCCTCAATTTTTTTTTTTTTTTCGGTTAACAACAGCTGCAAAGCTAGCAAAATAAGGGACTGTATCACTCCCTGTAGGCCGCAGCTTTGGCTTGGGTTCCCTTTTAATACTGCAAGAAGCTAGTATAATAATTCTTTGTCCAAGACATACACAGCAGCAATTCTCTGCATTATTCACAACACTTTCTGGAGATTAACCCATTGCTCCTGGCACCGCAGATGAGGAGGCAGCATAAAATATGGAAAGAGCCCTAGCCTTGGAATCAAAAGCTGTGGGTTCAAGACCTGGCACATCCATCCTGTACCATCTCCAAGCCTTGTTGTCTTCATTTTAAAGTGGAGATGATAATACATGTTCTATTGACCTCACAAGTTTGTCATGAGCTTCAAATGAGATAATGCCTGTAAAATGTTTTGTTGTCTGGAAAGTGTAATTCAAGTGTAAGATACAATTATTAGGAGCTTAGAGAGAAAGGAAATGAGGTCACAACTTCGCTTATCTACCCACCTAAGTCTGAGGTACTTTCTGGAACAAGGCTACTTATTAACATTTACAACAAGACAAAAAATAATCCATGACTAGAATTCTACTGGCAATTAATAAGTAGATCTTAAGGCTGTCTCCTCACATTTCTAGACCCTTCCTTTGCCTGCCAGATGTCCCCAAGATTCATCCTAGACTACAGATCCCATTTGGACGCAACAGGAAATAGACTGACCTTCCAAAATCACCAGATGGAGCTTTGTCAACAAGTGAATAATGAGGCAGAATATTTGCAAAGTAGAGGATTAGAAGTGCTTCAGGGAACTTCCTGGGAGAAATCCCTAATGAGTAGAGAAGGAAGAAGAAGGATCAGAGTTAGGTGGACTACTGGTTTGGGAGGAAAAAGGAAAAGTGAAAGACCTAGATAAGGCCTTTGAATGTTGTTCTGTTACTGGGCAAAGTGGTGCGAGTGAGAATGCACTGCTTTCAAAAAGGAACTATGGCCGGGCACAGTGGCTCACACCTGTAATTCCAGCACTTTTAGAGGCTGAGGCAGGTGGATCACTTGAGGCCAGGAGTTCAAGACCAGCCTGGACAACATGGTAAAAACCTGTCTCTACAAAAAATACAAAAATTAGCCGTGTTTGGTGGCACATGCCTGTAGTCCCAGCTACTTGGGAGGCTGAGGCACAAAAATCACTTGAACCCAGGAGGTGGAGGTTACAGTGAGCTGAGATTGTGCCACTGCACTCCAGCCTGGACAACAGAGCAAGACGCTGTCTCCAAAAAAAAAAAAGGATCTAAGGTATTTAACTCTTGACACAGTCTGACTTGTAAGTCAAAATGCCCACAAAAAGAATGTGGTTATAATATAATCCCTCTAATCAGCCCTCCAATAGCCATCTGAATCATGGTCCCTGGTATGAGGCCAGAGGAGCTGCTGGCCTCTAAGACAGAGGCCTGTGGTTCGCCTCATTACAAGAGGGAGCCTAGGGCTCTGTTGAAGGAGACTGGACAGTCTAGACCTATTCCTGAATCCACTAGTGGAAACCTTGAAGAATCGTATTCTCCAATGTTCACTTCTCTCATTTAATGGAAATAGTGTTAGTCCTTCTCTCTTCCATGATGTTTAATAATGTGCTTTCCTTGATGGAAGGAAGATACAGTCCAGTGCAGGCCCTTGTTCATGCACGTAACTGGACACCTATACTGCTGTCACAAGCTCTTTGCAAGCAACAGTATTTATCCATGGTTTTGTATCTGTTTGCATGTGAAACTTCCCTGGGCTGTATGTCAAAATGTTGACCGTGGTTATGTGTGATAGCTCCCAAACTCAGCCTGTCCTACAGTTTAATTACTGAAAAAATAATCTGGAAGCAGTTAACTATCCTCAGCTTTAGCTTCTCTTTCTGTAAGATGGACAGATGTTGCAGGTTAAGAACACTAATGAGCCGGGAGCAGTGGCTCACACCTGTAATCCCAGCACTCTGGTAGACCGAGGCAAGCCAATCACCTGAGGCTGGGAGTTCAAGACCAGCCTGACCAACATGGAGAAACCCCATCTCTATTAAAAATACAAAATTAGCCGGGCGTGGTGGCACATGCCTGTAATCCCAGCTATTTGGAAGGCTGAGGCGGAGAATCGCTTGAACCCAGGAGGCAGAGGTTGTGGTGAGCCAAGATCGTGCCATTGTACTCCAGCCTGCGCGACAAGAGCGAAACTCCATCTCAAAAAAAAAAAAAAAGGAACACTAATGGATGATGTCTGATACTGCAGGAGTCCCTCTAAAGTTTCAATACCATGTAAATATGTCCTGTGAAGTGCAGTATTCCAAAATGTGTCATTCATCAATGAATAGTGTTTGAATGACAAGGGCAATGTTAATATTATTACCAAAATTTTAAAATTTTATATGGAAACAATTTTGCATACACTTCTAGAAATTGTTAGTCTTATATGTTTTATCCTGTTAGGTGAAGTAATTCTTGTCAGTTATTATCAGATTATTTCTTCCATAGCAGAGCTACCATAAGCATCCCAGAAAGCGCTGCATCTAGAAAAGATACAGAGCTAACACAAATTTACGATAAACCTAATCCAGAAAAAAAGGAAATAAAAATGAATAAAAGTGGAACTCAGAAAGCAGATAAAATAAGAGATTCAAAGCATATTTTCTAAAATTAAAGTAGTACGATAAAGTTATCTGCTAAAATGTTTTAAGATATTAAAGAAAGTACTTTTCTAAGAAAAGCATACATTTATTCAAGAAACCTCAGTGAGCAAGGGAAAAGATAAAAACTTTATTAAATTACTTTCTCTCCAAAAAGCTTTGGAGCCAGATTGATTTATTAGCAAATTCTTTCAGATTTTGAGAAAAGCTAATCCAAATGCTGTATAAATCATTCCCCAACATGTTAGAGATGGAAAGCTATCTAATAATTATAATGAAATTGGCATGATCCTAATGTCAAAACTTGACAAAGGCAGTACATACAAAAAAGAGAGCTATACATTAGTGGTTTTCAACTGAGGGTGATTTTTGCATTCCAGGGGATATGTGGCAATGTCTGAAGACATTTTTAGTCATTACTTTGGGGGTCAGGGAGGGCTGCTACTGACATCTAGTGGGTAGACACCAGGGATGCTGTAAACATTCTGTAAAGAACAGGACAGGACAGCCACCCACAACAAAGAATTATCTGAACCAAAATGTTTATAATTAAGAAACCCTATTATGGACCACTTACCATCATAGATAAGAGAACACTAAAATACCAAAAAACAAATCTAAATCAATCAGATGTTACAAGAACAATTCACCAACACCAGGGTTTATCCCCCCCTTTTTTTTTTTTTTTCGGAGACAGGGTCTTGTCTTGTCACCCAGGCTGGAGTAATGGTATGAACACAGCTCACTGCATCCTTGACCTCCCAAGCTGAAGGGATCCTCCTACCTCAGACTTCTAACTAGCTGGGACCACAGGCATGCACCACCACATCTGGCTCATTTTTTGTAGAGATGGAAATCTCACCATATTGCTCAGGCTGGTCCTGAACTCGAGCTCAAGCAATCCACCCACCTTGGCCTCCCAAAGTGTTGGGATTACAGGCGTGAGCCATTGCACCTGGCCTATCCCATTTTAATGTTAGAAAGTCATCATATCAAACTAAAAAGACCATAAAAAGTCTCAGTAGATCTTGAATAGGCATTTGATAAAATTTCATGCTATAAGAAATTCTTGTAAACCTAAAATAGAAGGATCCATCAACTGAATATTTAGAAAGGGACAAAACCTATTTCAAACCAGTAATTCATATTAACTTTGAAACATCAGAGGGATTCTCATTAATATCAGAACATGATTGCCTTTAGAAACGTTAATAATTTACATTGTTATGGAAATTTACCCATCAAAGTAATTACTTATATAAAACAGAAATAAGACATACAATTCTTAGAGAAGAGGAGGCTTTAAACCATTATTATTTGAAGACCACATGCATACTAGAAAATGCAAGATAATAAATTTTTAGGAAATTTTAATTTAGAAAATATAGCAAAGTGGCTTATTAGGTATTAAATACAATTTGCTGGTGCCAAAAATAACCAATTACAAAATATAACAGGAAAAACATCCCTTTCACAATTTCAGCAAACAAAAATACATTTGAAGTAACCCCAACAAAAAGCATGTGTAATGTAAATCATGAAAACTAAAAAACTTTGCCAAAAAATCCAGAAGACATGAATAAACGAGAAAATATACCACATCTCCAAATGGAAAGTCTAAATATCATAAAAGTATCAGTTCTCCCAGATTAGTTTGTAGATTTCATATACTATTTATCAAAGACTCAACATAGTTTTTTGGGAAGAGGACTTTAAATAATGTTTAAGCTCTTAAATACAAACATGCATACATACATAAATTAAGAGATAATTTTTTTAAAGAGGGTATAAGCATGGCTTACACACAACTAATTTGCACTTCTTTGGACAAATACCATTGCATTAGTATCAGTTTTCTATACCTTTCAGAGTGATAAAATCCTGTGGCTTAAAGACAATGGGAAGTAACCCAGAAAACTAGATGGAATACTCAGTAATCTTTCTGTTTGTTTATTTGCCTCCCATCAAAATCTTTCACAATTTTTTGCAGATAAATTCAAAATAAAACAAGATCTTTATACCCTCTCAAATTGCAAAGAATGTTTAAATTACTAAAGCCTACAATTGGGCTTCATGATACTAAAAAATTAATAGCAATCTAAAAGGCCATCAAATGAGTAGTTAAATAAATTTTAATGTAATACATTCATGTTCTGCAATACAATACAATCCTTTAAACTCATGTTTTCAAAGAGTATGACACAAGAAGTGCTAACAAAGTGTTAAGTGAAAAAAGCAGGCTTAATACTGCATAGTGAATTTGTTCTTAATTTTAAGAAAAAACACATAAAATGAAAAATACTGCCAGGAAAAAGTATAACTCAATAATGGATATTTGCTTAGTGTTTTTTGTTTGTTTATTTGCTGGAGTGCAGTGGTGCAGTCATAGTTCACTGCAGCCTCGGTGGGTTCAAGTGATCCTCACACCTCAGCCTCTTAAGTAGCTGGGACTACAGGTGTGCACCACCATGCCTGGTGACATTTTTTTGTTGTTGTTTATTTTCATAGAGATGAGGTCTCACTTTGTTGCCCAGGGTGGTCTCAAACTCCTGGGGCCCAAGCTGTCCTCCAGTCTCAGCCTCCCAAAGTGCTGGTATTATAGGTGTGAGCCACTGTGCCCAGCCTGGATATTTGTATATTTGTGAAATTATGAGATATTTTATTTTCTTGTCTTTTTAACTCTTTCATTTCTTCTCACCTTTTATGGCATCTCCTCCTCCCTTGGGACCCTCTTTCTTTGAAGATCCTTTTTATTGAGACAGGGTCTCACTCTGTTGCCCAGGCTGGAGTACAGTGGCACAGTCTTGGCTCCCTACAGCCTTGACCTCCCTGGCACAAACAATCCTCCCACCTCAACCTCCCAAAGTGCTGAGATTACAGGTGTGAGCCACTGCAACCAGCCTGAAGATTTTTCTATTTGCCAAACCTTAGGATACGGAACAAATAGATATTGACCCATGTGGCAGCCAGTCAAGTGGGGAGTGTGGGAACAAATCATCCTTTATTTTCGTTTCTTCCACCACTGGGCCTGGGACTGCCTGGAGCGGGCAGTTCTGACTGAGCTGAGGGAACTCTTAAAATCCTGCATTTTAATGAAGAAATCCCAGTTGTCCACTGGCGGCCCAGAGCCGGCCAGCTCCCTGTTGTACTGTTGTTTTATGGTTTACCTGGGCCAGACCAGGGGGCATACTCTGGCGGGTGTTTCTTCTTCTGCAGAACCTAAAGGAGCTGGTGCTGGAAGTGGTGGTGGTGGCTTTGGTGGAGGCGGCGGATTTGTCGGAGGAGGTGGTGGCGGAGGCGCTGGAAGCTTTGGAGGGGGCGGACCTCCAGGTCTGGGAGGACTGTTCCAGGCTGGAATGCCAAAGCTGAGATCCACGGCCAACAGGGATAATGGTAAGGAGAGTTTCCCTGTCTCTGAGTAACTGAAGACAAGACAGAGTTTGGCAGTTTGGAGGCTGGTCATAGCCCCTAAGGCTCTTCGCCCTTACTAAAATATTGTACATTGTTTGAAATATTACCACTGTTTTATAAGAGACTCAATTTAGGCTTTATTATTATTATTAACCAGGATCAGACAGCTGCACGGAACTATGAAATTTTCACCCAGTGTCTTTGGGGGTAACCTGTACTTTTTTTTTACTTTTCTAAAGGGTTAGCTGGAGTGGGAAGAAAAGGGAGGAGCAAATAGAACTTGCTGACCCTGGAAATCTGCCTGGTGACCTGACAGATTCAGCTTTCTTTGTGAGGTAGCCCAGCTGTCTAGTAGAGTAAATACTTGTGAGCCGCTTTTCAAACACGATGGAGCACGTCTTGTGGAATATGATTACAAATCTCACTAAATCTGAAAAAGTGTTTTGCATGACAGACATTTGGTATTTCAGTGCCAGTGGTTCTCAGGAGTCTCTGCAGGAAGCATGGACATGAGTCCTTCATGATTGTCTATGAACCTGTTGGTAGAGAAAAGCTGAACTTGCTCATGAATGCCTAAATAAAAAACTTCGCAGAGGCATGAGGCTCTCTCCCGACTACTACAGAAACTCAAGAAATTTTACCATAAAACTGCTTTTGTAATGTTGATCATGTTACAGTAATTTTCTTTTTAAGACCTTTTATAAGATGTCGTCTGGGAAGCAATGAAATTCTCACATTTACACGAATATGGAATCACTGAATCTTCAGGGTTAGCCTACTATTTTATCACTGAATGGTCCAAATCTAGAGAGAAACTCAATTACATGAGAGGTTCTATCTTGCCAGACCACCATTTAAATTTGAATTTAAATTTATTTAAAACTCACCAAAAGGATTTAAGGCAGCTGATAAATGTATACGTTTAGTACTTTAACAACAGGTGAAGAAATTAAGGCAAAAGACAAAGAAAAATAAAATAATAAAATGGGCCAGGCATGGTGGCTCGCATCTATAATCCCAGCACTTTGGGAGGTTGAGGCGGGCAGATGGCTGAAGCCCAAAAATTCAAGAACAGCCTGGGGAACATGGCAAAATCCTGTCTCTACTAAAAAACACAAAAAATTAGTGGGCATGGTGGCTCTTGCCTGTAGTCCCAGCTACCCAGGAGGCTGAGGTGGGAGGATTGCCTGAACCCAGGAAGTTGAAGCTGCAGTGAGCCATGATTGCACCACTGAACTCCAGCCTGGGCAACAGAGGAGACCCTGTCTCAAAAAAGAAAGAAAAAGTTCTCTCTTAAGTTCATGATACTCCACTGTATACATCTGTCCAAATGCTTTTTTCCTATGCCTTAGACAAAATCGGAACCCCTTCTGTCCTGCAGGGCTCGTTGTGACTCACCCCTGTTGGCCATTCAGGCTCCGCTTCCCATGGATCTCTCCCATTCTCACTCTGCCTGGGGCACACGGGCCAGTTTTTGAACTTAAAGCTCTTTCCCACCTCAGGGCCTCTGCACCTGCTGGCCTCCTGCCTGAAGTGCTGGTCTTCCTCATCTTTCCATGGCCGGCTCCTTCTTGTCAGGCCTCAGCTCACATGTCACATTCTTAGAAGAGCTGTCCCCAGCCACTCCACGTACCCTGGCCTCTCCAAGCACTCTTGATCTCATCAGCCTATTTTAGTGTCTTTTTAGTACATATAATTATCTGAAAGTATTTATTTCCTGGTTTATTGTTTATCTCCCCCCCACAAGAATGTAAACTACAGGAATGCAGAATCTTGTCTATTCTGTTTACTCCTCTGTCTCTGGTCTCTAGATTAATGGCAGGTGTATAGCAAGAGCTCAAAATTATTTGGTATGTTTATGAAAACTCATAATTGAAGGGGAGATTTTTTTTTCCAGAATTACCTTGATTTCCAAGAGATTCTGGGATGGTGGTTTGAAATTTTCCATCTCTTTGGTTCCCCTTTAGTTTCTCTCTTGTTGAACCAGAGCAGTTATAGGATTGTTCTGTCCTGCCAATATTGAAGCAGAGGTTGACGTGGTAAGAAAAAAAAAAGTTGTGTAGTTGCCTGCTTCTTTGTAGATGAATTCCATCCACTGGTGTCAACTCTTCCAATTAAACTCTATATGATGGTTTCTTTTTCCTTTCTTAGTTTTTTCTTATTGCAGTCATAACTCTTTCCTTATATTTTTCCCCTTATATTTTTCCACGTTTTCTTGGGCATTTCTCTTCAAAGGTACTAGATAAGCCCTCACATATAGAGATTTACATTGGGATAATTAATTTTTTCACCTAAAACATCTGACTTATTTTCAAAACTGAGAGGTACAAGGGCTGGGGGACAGAGATGGTGATGGGGAAAAATGAAAATCATGATTCTACCAATGCCATCTTGTTCTTGTCCTCTCATAACGAATAGGCATCTCACCAGAACTCTACCCCGCTTCATCCTGGCTCTTATCTATACATAATACTTTACATAGATCTTTCCAGACTCCTTTTGAAAGCTGATGGGCTGTAGAACTTGGGACTCACAGGTAAATAGAGCTACGGTCGATTTTCTGCTCCCAGGAAGGACCACAGACACAAAACCCAATTTATATAAATGATAGTTTCCTGTATTTTATAGCCCTCTGAGGAAGGGACTTCAAGTCACTGGGAACAGACTGTAGCTCTCTGATTTCTTTAGGGTTCCTGATTTCCTAACTGGATGTTTGTTTTCCTGTTTTTCAGATTCTGGAGGAAGCCGACCACCCATGTTGCCACCGGGAGGAAGATCCACATCTGCCAAACCCTTTTCACCCCCAAGTGGCCCAGGGAGGTTTCCTGTGCCTTCTCCAGGCCACAGAAGTGGTCCCCCAGAGCCTCAGAGGAACCGAATGCCGCCCCCAAGGCCCGACCTGGGCTCAAAGCCTGATAGCATTCCCCCTCCAGTACCTAGTACTCCAAGACCCATTCAATCAAGTCTGCACAACCGGGGGTCCCCACCAGTGCCCGGAGGCCCGAGGCAGCCCGGCCCCGGGCCCACTCCTCCCCCTTTCCCTGGAAACCGCGGCGCTGCTTTGGGAGGAGGCTCAATACGTCAGTCTCCCTTGAGCTCCTCCTCGCCCTTCTCCAACCGGCCCCCCCTGCCGCCTACGCCCAGCAGGGCCTTGGATGACAAACCCCCTCCACCACCTCCTCCAGTAGGCAACAGGCCCTCCATCCACAGGGAAGCGGTTCCCCCTCCTCCTCCTCAGAACAACAAGCCTCCAGTGCCTTCCACTCCGCGGCCTTCCTCCTCCTCACAGCCCCCACCTCCGCCGCCACCTCCCAGCAGGCCCGGGCCGCCTCCCCTGCCTCCAAGTTCCAGCGGCAATGACGAAACCCCAAGACTCCCACAGCGGAATCTGTCCCTCACTTCGTCCACGCCCCCCTTACCTTCGCCAGGACGTTCAGGTCCTCTTCCTCCCCCGCCCAGCGAGAGACCCCCACCTCCAGTGAGGGACCCGCCAGGCCGATCAGGTATGACAAGATGTGGGGTGAGTCGCTTCCAAAACCCAGCCTGCCCAAATGTACCAATAATGCTGTCAGTCAAGATAGTCTTAACAAGAGCAGGCATAAGTAAACTCTAAGACTGCTTTGTGCTTTTAAGTGGCACGCGACACATGTGATCGTGACCTCGTGTAAATCCCTGAGGAAAGTGGGACCAATATTTCTGTTGGTGTTTTAGCGATGAGGACACTGAGTAGCCAATGAAGTTAAATGGTCACGAGCTAGTTAATAAAGAAGAGGCAAGAACTTTCGTCTTCCATCTGTAAAGTGTACTTGCCAGCCCACTACCCTGTCTCCCTAGAGAGAATTCCAGTGGTCTTACTTGGGAAAATAAGTCCCCACCTCCTGCAGGAGGGCTCCATTACTCCAACAACAGGGGAAGATTTTCAAGAGCTAATGAACTTCTGTACTTCTCTATTCATTAGCCAGGCTTTGAGGCCATTTCCCTGTTCATTAAAGACAAATGTTTAAAAAGTCCATTTTGCTCTTTGTTAACATCTCTGGTACATATCCCTTGGAGAATCAAAGGTATAGACTATCTTTACAAAAATACTCAGGCATAAACTCAAAATCTGCATGCTGTCACATGGCTTGAAGAGCCTGCTGAAGCCCATCTGAGACCTTTCCAATGCGGTTGGAAAGGTTGAGAAACCTTGATCTGAGGGACAAACTTTCAGAGTATGAAAGAAAACGCAAGGATTGCCTAGAGTTTGCCCTCTCCGAATTATAATAGGCATTTTTAGTAGAGTACACTCACTTGATGCGTTTTACAGTGGTTATGGATGAACTCGGTAGAACCACCCACTTTTCAAATTTAATCTCATCATACAGACCTTATGTCTGGAAATGGGGCATTTTTTTCCTTTACGCAGAGATAAGAGACCTTTGACCCTGTGACCTCAGGAACCTCATAATCACCATTCTTTAAACTTGCTCACATACTGGAATCATCTACGGAGCTTTAAAAACCACGAATGCCTGGGTCCCTTCCCAGAGTCTCTGGTATAATTGGTCTGGGGTGCAGACTGGGAATCGGGATATTTAAAAGCTCCCTGGTGATTATAGTGTGCAGCAGAATGTGAGAACCACACCTTGAAACCATTGTGCCGTGGCCCTACCAAATGGATGAGTCAGCAGATTAAATCTTCCCCAAAATATGACAAGCATTGACATACAACATTTATTGTTTCTTTTGATTACGTAAGTCATACTTGTTTATTATCGAAATACTGAAAAATATAAAGAAAATTAAAATTATCTGTAATCCTTCTACCACCACCATCCAGAAATAGTCATTGATAACATTTTTTTATTGTGTCCTTTCAGTCTTTTTAAAATGCATATATGTTTTTACAAACTTGGTATCACACTACATATATTGTTTGCTAATTTGCTTTTTATTTACTAGTATCTCATTAATGTTTAGTGATACGATTATTCTTCTACAGCCTGACTTTTAACAGCTACCTAATATTAAATCCTACAGATGTACCTTGATTTATTTAACCAATCCCCTCACCTGGTCATATGGGCCATCTCTGGATTTTTCCTGGTGCAGATAATGCAGTGATACATTTTTGTAGCAAAATATGTGTACACATCTCTGTATTTCCTTTGGATGAATTCCTATAAGTGGAATATCTAGGTCAGTGAGTGTGCATAGTAAACTACGGATTTCATAGGTACTGGCAAATTGCCTTCCAGAAATTTCCTACCAATTTACATTCCCACAAGGAGCATATGAGAGTTCATCAAAGGCCCTGTGTATTCTGAGTCATTTGGCTTCAGTGTTACGGGAGTGGGCCTTGGAATCTGACAGATTTGGAGTCAGATCCTGGCTCCTCCACTCAGTCTTCTGATGAGCTTTTTAAGCTTCCAAACCCTCTGAGGCCTTGTCTCCTGTCCCTGTACCTCTCAGAGTTGTAAGAATTAAACGAGACAAGCATGGATAGTGGTTATCTTATTTCCTGGCATGTAGTTATATTCAATAAATGATCATTTCTGTTATTCTGCCAGTGGGAAATAGAAATCTGTTTTCTTTTCTATTGTGCCTGTCAGGATTTGGAGCAGGGAGCCATGAGGTTGGAGAGTTAGGAACATGAACAGGACCATTTACTTTAAAAAGAAAAAGAGATGAAGTTATATAGTACAGGGCCCCATAATATTGAAAGTCGAGTTTGCATGTAGTGACAGTTGTGTGGTGGTATCACCAATGAAGTCAAACCCACAGCAAATGAGACATTTTTCCTCAATAAATCAACTCTTGCTGCCTGGGACTCCAGCAATGACAAGCAGATAGGGTAATAAATAACCACTCCCAGGTGAGGCACTGAAGACTCCTTGAGAGACCAATCAGGGCTGGACAGTGCCTCCCACCGCCATAAAATGTTGGAGCCAAGACTTTCTGTCAGGGATATCTGCAGTGGGCAGGTTGTTCAGGTTAAGGTTCCTAATTGGATTCTGAATCTATAGCTAATAAGATATTTATTTATAGCACCGTCAGATATTGTATTCACATAAAATGTCAGCATCTTACAAGTGGAACCCACTGCTGAAGATCAGGAATAATTACTAAGGCCATTTTGATTTACATTGGAAAATGCTCAAGTTTTCAGTTTTGTTTTTTTAGTTTACTTACTACTCAAATAGCCCCTGCATTTGGAGGATAGGAAAAGCAAGGTTTTCTTTTGTATTATCAAAAATAATTTACTTTGAATTTTTCTTTAGAAACTTAAAAACTTATGGTTATACCATACTGCTACATTTTTTAAAAATGGTTTCAAGTACTTACATAGTATTTTTTATTTGCATTTTCACTAGTTTTTCCTGGCAGCAGTGCTGTGAGACAGGTGACCATGTGGCACTCTTTTACAACTAGGAAACCAAGTTCCATAGGGTACCAGCTTGCTCAAGGTCAAGATTCACATTAGCATTTATAGCCATGGATGTTGATTAGCTGTTTGTCACTCCCTGTGTTCATCTGCCTCCCCAAAGAGGAAGAACCAAGAAGAAACTCCTACTGCTCTCAAGATGACTGGTATTTGGTTTCCTGATGCCACTTCTGCCTGGAAACAGATCATATGCATCACAGAAACGTGCTTCTGTAATTAACAACAAAACTGCATTTAAAGAACCTCATTCTTCTCAAGACCTAAAATAATTTCATAACTATCTTATTCTTTTTTAAAAAATTATTTCATCATGTCACAGTAATTAGTTCAATAGCTCTTTAAAGGATTGTAAATTTTTTTTTAATTATATGGTTGTCAGTATAAACAGATTTTCACCTGTTTTCAGTTTCACTGTGCCATCTCCAATCTCAGTGCTAATTCAAAGCCAAAACACCCATTTAGCTATCAGTATGCACTTGTTTTGCATATACATGTGTACACATGCATTTTTTGTGTTTCTGTGTGTTTACTCATTTCTCAGCCAAATACCCTAGAAAATCTCCACCCTAATTAAAGGGCATGTGTCCAGCAGGTCCCCATCAGCTGTACACTAATGGTGACTACGGTGATGGAATATGGATATAAGGTTCTGCACTACGTGTCTTTTTTTGCTCCAGGCCCCCTCCCACCACCTCCTCCAATAAGCAGAAACGGCAGCACGTCTCGGGCCCTGCCTGCCACCCCTCAGTTGCCGTCCAGGAGTGGAGTAGACAGTCCAAGGAGTGGACCCAGGCCTCCCCTTCCTCCTGACAGGCCCAGTGCTGGGGCACCTCCCCCACCTCCACCATCAACATCTATTAGAAATGGCTTCCAAGACTCTCCATGTGAAGGTGAGGTATGGTCCGACTCCCTGGGCTATAGGGCAGCAACTAAATGGTAAATCTGTTTGTATATGTGGTTTGCTTGTTTGCGTTTAATTTCTTGTTCCATCATTATCACACTCCATTGCACTGATCTAACTAACCATTCTAAGGCCCACAGTGATTTCAAATTAAAATTAGTAATCCCCCTTCCCCACTTCCCAAAAAGGCAGATCATTTTTCCCTGATCTGTTCTTTGTTTGGGTCTCATTTTAGTTAACTTTCCAGAGATTCCAGGATTCTGAAAAGAATCTTTTAATAGCTTCTTCTTATGTACATTTCTAAACAGTTCACTGTAGGTAAGAGGCCCGATGGCCTGCACATGTTGAACTGCCTATCTCTGCCATTGTTATCAATGGGGAAAAAGGTGTCCTGTACCTTAGCCGCCAGCTCCTAAGAGGGACTGGCTGGATCCTAATCACTCTCATTAAAACCACTTTGCTTTGATTTGCAGGTCTGTATATACGTCAGTGTACTAATTCGTGACCTTTGCAGCACTTCCAGCTTTTCTGTAAACTTCTAGGCATAAAAACTAGCACTGATGTCTGTGGTTCTCTCTCTGTTTCATTCTGTGCCTTTCGTTACGTAAGTCTTCATAGCAGATTGTCTGTCACTGAAGATACTGCTTGTTTCTCTTCCCAGATGAGTGGGAAAGCAGATTCTACTTCCATCCAATTTCCGATTTGCCACCTCCAGAGCCATATGTACAAACGACCAAAAGTTATCCCAGCAAATTGGCAAGAAACGAAAGCCGGAGTGAGTATTTCTGCCAAGGTTTTTGAAGATTCATGCTTGAATAGCCTGAGTGACACTCGGGCTGTATAGAAAGTCCAGGCCTCTTGCCTGGAGTGGGGTAGAGAACCTTTTGGAGCCATCTACATTCTAGTAAATTCCCCTTCCACAGGCAGTGAGGAAATTGCAGATGCCCAGAATGCATATGAGAAACAGTTATTTTAATGTGTCATTACAAACTCAAAATACCGTGGTTTGCTAGTATTAAATTTTATTATTTTGCTTCTTTGGACGATCGTCCTCCGTTTTCATCTTCCTGAGACAGTACAAGTAGAGCCATCTTCTATTCCTTCTAGTTTGAAATTGGCATAATGTCTGATTAATTATAACAAAAACTCCCTGTAACTGCCTTGATCTTTCAAACATATGATAATCATAGCTTTACAGAGCATTACATGAAAATGTAAATATATCCAAAATCTCTCTACATAATAGATATTTTCATTTTACCAGATTCTCATCCAATTTTTTATCCATATAATTCTGATTTTTTATGTAGTTATAATGACAGTGTATAGTTTTGTGGCGGGGTTTACATAACATTGCTTAGTAAATAGTGCCCATGTTATCACATGGTTTTTATTTCAGCATATAGTAATTTACCATTACCATGGACATTTAAATTATTTCTGTTGTTCTGGTAATGTAGGTCATGCTACCATAAGGAAGTAAATTGCTTTTCCTCCATTGAAAAAGGGTGTCAACAAGAAGGGAAAATAGACAAACTGGAATTTTATAACATTAAATGTATAGGAAGTATTACAGCTCTTTCAGAATTTGTCTAGCAGGCTTTTCAGGGTTTTGCTGGAAAGCCTCTTAAATTTACTTTTAAAAAAACACAATAGCCAGGCACGGTGGCTCACGCTTGTAATACCAGCACTTTGGGAGGCTGAGGCAGGCAAATCATGAGGTCAGGAGTTCGAGACCAGCCTGACCAACATGGCGAAACCCCATCTCTACTAAAAATACAAAAATTAGCCGGGCATGGTGGCGTGCACCTGTAATCCCAGCTACTCAGTTGCTGAGGCAGGAGAATCGCTTGAACCCGGGAGGTAGAGGTTGCAGTGAGCCGAGATCGCACCATTGCACTCCAGCCTGGGCAACAGAGCAAGACTTCATCTCAAAAAAAAAACAACAGCAGCAACAATAAATATATACAATGAAGAAAGAATTAGCATGAAATATGCGTATGTCACCCATGAGGCTGAGGTTCGTGGCAGCCTTAGCCTCAGAGCCAAATTCTCAAACCAGAAATAGAAAAAATATAACCTAATAAGTCAAATACGTCACAACACCCCTAGCCATGGCCTCACTCCCTAGCAGAGCTTCTTATACCTACTCAGAGCCTACTGATTGTTTTCTAACACAGTTTAAAGTAATTTTTGGTTGGTTGGTTCCAAACCTTATAGGAGATTAGTAACAGCTAAAGTTAAGACTAGTGAGAAGCAAAATCACTGACATGGGAGAGAAGTGACAGATGGCAGTCCCAGGTCAGAGGAGGAGACAGGAACATGGCTGTGCTGTGTGTTACAGCGCAGGACAACACCAGATGTTTCTGTTGGGTTAAATTTCTATTGGGTTAAATGGGATTAAATTAATTGAGTTAACCTGTGCTTTGTGCCTCTGTAGAAAAATTTAAAGAGCTAGAAAATATAGGAAATTTTCCATGGACAAATGCTAGAAGAAAACAGAATACTACTGCTTAAAAGGAAAACTTTAATTCCTGGAAAAATTTGTTTATGTGGAAGACTGCATTCATAGACAATACCTAATGAAGAGGTATAGCTGTAATAAAATCATTATACAAGAGTTGATGATTGAAATTTTTAGTGAAGACCAGGCACAGTGGCTCACGCCTGTAATCCCAGCACTTTGGGAGGCCAAGGTGGGTGGATCACTTGAGGTCCGGAGTTCGAGACCAGCTTGACCAACATGGAGAAAACCTGTATCTACTAAAAATACAAAATTATCTGGGCATGGCGGCACATGCCTGTAATCCTAGCTACTCAGGAGGCTGAGGCAGGAGAATTCCTTGAACCCAGGAGGCGGAGGTTGCAGTGAGCAGAATTCACACCATTGCACTCCAGCCTGGGCAAGAAGAGCGAAACTCCATCTCAAAAAAAAAAAAAAAAGAAAAGAAAAATGTTTAGTGGAAAGTAAGTTTTCACATGGGACAGGTATCTTTGAATGCTGTGTGTGTGTGTGTATGTGTGTGTACGTGTTCACCAGAAGAAGGGCTTCTGTTTGATAAGAGTACAACCCTTCTTCCTTCTTGGGCACCAATAAACGAATTGACTTTAAGGAGTTGTTCATATAGACTCTAAATATTTTTTCTGACTTACTATTTTCCTCTTATTCTAAATATTATTTGTGTTTTTAAATTGGTAACAGACCATCTTCCCTGTACCCTCTAGATTTTTAATGTAATAGCTAAGCATATTTCTTCTCCCATCCTCCTTTAAGACTCAAGTAGGCAATGTAAGGACTAGAACTGTGTCCTGCTCACTGTTGCATCTTCCTTGAGGGGCACAGAGCCTGAAACATAAAGGGCATTTTCAAGCATTTCTTTTTAAAAATGTTCTTATAGAGACAGGATATCTCTGTGTCGCCCAGGCTGGTCTTGAGCTTCTGGCCTCAAGTAGTCCCCTGCCTTAACCTCCCAAAGCACTGGATTATAGGCATGAGCTACCACACCTAGCCTAAAAGTAGTTTTTAAATTGGTGAATTAATTTCCGCCGTCTACCAAAATTTTTTTGTACATTTGCCTTAAATATTTCCAGCATTAGGCATGTTTAATATTTTATAATGATAATGTATCATCTAACAAAAATAAATAAGGCACTGTCGAGTACCAAGTTTTCCTCTGCTCTGCAGCAACCTCAGCCTCCCAGCCCACAGCCTGAGAGCACACCCAGACAGCCCTGAGCAGTACCGAATGCACTTGGAGTGTACTCTAATTACAGCTTTGGACTAGGCCAGCCCTCATTCTACTAACCACTTGTGGCGGGTCAGTTGATGGTCAGGGCTCCATGATAGGTGTCTGGTTTACATCCAGATGAGTCTTTTCTCAGATGCCTGCCCAAGAAAATATTTGGTTGGGATGGTGAGAGGAAGAGGCGCCTCTTTCAGTGTTTTCTCCTAACTCCTTTCCTTGCTCAGAAATTTGGTTCTTTCTCAGAAATCCCTAAGTGGACTAGTAGGGTCCCTATCAAGATCCCTACTGAGGAATCTGCCAGTTCCAGCCCACTGAGTCTCAAGAGTAGTGGTTAGAGCAGACCTACCTGATTGACACGTGCACCGGGTAGACCTGTTCACAGCATCTGAGCACCTAACCTCATGCCGAACACCTGTTAAATTCTCAACAAGGCTGGGTGCGGTGGCTCAAGCCTGTAATCCCAGCACTTTGGGAGGCCGAGACGGGTGGATCACAAGGTCAGGAGATCGAGACCATCCTGGCTAACACAATGAAACCCCGACTCTACTAAAAAATACAAAAAAAAAACTAGCCGGGCGAGGTGGTGGGCGCCTGTAGTCCCAGCTACTTGGGAGGCTGAGGCAGGAGAATGGCGTGAATCCGGGAGGCGAAGCTTGCAGTGAGCTGAGATCCGGCCACTGCACTCCAGCCTGGGTGACAGAGCAAGATTCCGTCTCAAAAAAAAAAAAAAAAAAAAACATTTCTCAACAAATGTTTGTGTAGTAAATGAATTTTTTTTATGTGAATGGGTTTTAAGCCTAGTTACAGTGGACTGATAGCCCATGAATAGCTTGGTTTTTGGTTTCGTTTTGTTTTTGAGACAGGGTCTCACTCTGTCACCCAGGCTGGAGTGCAGCGGCACAATCTTGGCTCATTGCAGCCTTGACCTCCCAGGTTCAAGTGATCCTCCCACCACAGCCTCCTGGGTAGCTGGGACTATGGGAGAGGCACGCACCAACCTGCCTGGCTAATTTTTTGGAGATGGGGTTTTGCTATGTTGCCCAGGCTGGTCTCGAACTCCTGAGCTCAAACCATCCTCCCTCCTCAGCCTCCCCAAAGTGCTGGGGATACAGGTGTGAGCCACCGCAACAGGGCCATAAATAACTTTTAAAAGAACACATTGATAGAGCACTTGAAAAGATGCTCAACATCACTGATTTTTAGGGAACTGCAAATAAAACTATAGTGAGATACAACTTTACACCCATTAGGATGGCTACTGTCAGAAAAGCTTTCTCATTTTTAATTAGAAGATACCTAAATGCCCAACAAAAGGGAATTGACTAGGTAGACTGTAGTGTACTCATATTTTGGAATACAGTCTGTCATTAATAATCTTTGCAAAGAGTAATGCCTTTGAAAGATGTTCAAACTGATTACATGATCTTATTTCTGGAAGAAAACGGGGAACTGTTCCTAAATAAAAAATATACACGTAATTGGTTATCTCTGGGTGCTGGAGGAATGGGTGAGTTCTTTGTTTTTACTCATCCATATTTTCTAAATCTATAATAAACACACACTGTGATAAGAAGAAAATGATTTTTTTAACTTTGTACAAGTACTTGGGAGCCAGTGGTGGATCATCCACCATGATGTTTATTCAGAACATTACTTGCTTCTTTTCACCTCTCACTTCTCATCCACAACATATGCTAGTTAGCTGACAGCCCTGGTCATAGGGATGAGGTAGTTGGTACCCGTGCAACCATCCCCGAGTTTCCACAATGAGAACATCAGCTTTCTAACCAAAATTATATTTTGTCTGTTTTTTCACCAAGGTGGATCCAACCGAAGAGAAAGGGGTGCCCCACCACTCCCTCCCATCCCGAGGTGATCTTTGCCTGCTCTTCTCTACCCAAGCTCAAGAGCTGCTTCTGTTGCTAAGAACTGCACACCCTCCTCCCCGCTTCTTCCCTTGTGCCCCATGTATGGGCAGGAGGAAAGATGGGAGGGTGAGTGGGAATATGCGTGTGTGCGTGGGAATCGGTAAGAAATGCACCTAGCTTTTCATATTGTTTATTCTCCAGGCTATTGCTTGCTTCAGCTGCAACCGGGGTCGATAGGCTTTTGTGGTAATAGGCAGAGATGAATTGCATCCCAGCTTTCCACCAACCAAATCCAAACATTCACTGCTTATTTGCCACAGACTGTAATTATTAAAGTCCCTGAGAGCTGTTTTCTCCCATTCCTTTTTCGCATGCTTGGCCTCCTGTCTGTTTCCATGAACCACAGACCACCTAAGCAAGCTGCTGAGTAAGGGCTCACAGGAAACTTTTGCAGTCACAGGATGTCCAATCTTTGGCAGTCCGAGCTCAGCTCCAGGACAGAGCTGTCCAATAGAAATATAACGTGAGCCCCATATACAACTTCAACATTTCTAGTATATTTTCAACAAGTGAAGTTAATATGCATCCAAAGTATTTCAACCTGTAATCAACATAAACTTTTAATGAGATATTTTATATTATCTTTTGGTACTGAATCTTCAGAATCCAGAGTGTATTTTACATTTACTGGTAGCACATCTCCATTTGGACTAGTCACATTTTTAAGTGCTCAGTGGCCACATGTGGCTGGTGGCTACTGGATTAGACAGCATAAGTCTGGAAGATGGAAGCTAGTGCAGAAACCTCGTTTAAAAAACAAAAAAGGCAAGATGGGCTTGAGCGATTCAAGAGGCAACTAAAAATAAAATTAGGACCCAGTACCTTGTTTGACACAGTTTGACCTTCGATTTTGCTCTCTTATCTTCCCTCTTCCCTTAATATCTGTATACAAGTGTTGCTTCAAAGTACCAAGGTCAGAAATTAATTGAGTACGATTTACTAAAGTCATGTGGAATAAAGCCACTGAAAAGAAACGGAGAGCCTGTCGGGACTTCCGGGCTCAGAACCAGCTGGCGCACGCCCTCACTTGTCAGTTGGACTTCTGCCTTGTGAAATGGAAGCAGCCTTTGTTCCTCTCTGGCTGAGCAAGTTCCTGAGGCTGGGAGACACTAGGAAGGCTTGGTAGGAGGGGAAGAAAGTCAGGGAAAGGTGTCAAATCAGAAACATGGAAGAAGAAGGGAACAGATTTGAGTTGGTGGGTAAAACTCTAAAAATCTAAATCTGATTCTTATGTAAGGGTTGAGCGAATTAGGGAGATTGCTAGTGGAAATTGGAGGGAATTTGTTTTGCATCATTTGTCTAGGATCTATGCAAATACAGCTCCACTAAAGGACCATAGGGAAGAGCCAGCCTTGCCTTTTCTTACATGATTTTGTTTACAAAATTTTACTGGGACTTTTAAATCTAGCTATAGAGTTGGGAAAAAATATTTCCACTTAGATATTTTATATGGTTTTGTTTAAAATGACCATTACTTGTTTTTTAAAAACACATGACCACATATGTATATGTATATCTACCTAAACATTGTATCATGGTTTCAGTATGTTATTCATGTATTACTGGGAGATGCTAACAAGAACCCAACCCAAAGAAAATTCTGAAAAATACATTTCTATTTATAGAATAAATGTTTCATTTATATAAAAGCAAAAGAACTTAGAGTTCTAATAAATGGGATGTCTAATAAATTATGAAGTTACTGATTTGAATATATTATATTTTTATAACTTCCTTGCCAAAGTCCTGATGTAGTACATTAGAGAACCTGTGTTTCCTCTCTCATTGACCATTCATCTGTCTTCCATACAGTCATTTGGGCTTTTTACTCAAAGAGAATCAAGAAATAATAAGGTATAACAAGCCTGGCAAAGTGTTGGTTTTTTAAAAAAATTTGTTAATCTCTAGCAGTTTGGTAATTTAGCAGCATCATTTATTTGGGATTCTTTTATCTGATTTCAACAGTGAAAAGCATCCCTGTGATAAAGCCTAATGACCCATTTCACAAAAGATGGAGTTTCCCCTTCCTAGAAAATATGACAGAGAAAAGTCTGACTCAAAGAAAGTGGGTCTGAATTTTATAAGGGGTAGTAACAATTGGACAATTCCTTTGCATATCTGAACTTGGCAGGTACCATTCTAAATTTGAAACAGGGTCATAGCTCAAAGTTGCCATTCATCCAGAATAGAGATCCTTTAGAATGTAGTGTTTTAAGTGAGTGTTTCATTAATACACCTACACCCTTTCTTTGAAAGTTTGCAACCTAATTGCATCTAAAACTTTGAGTAAGTTCTGTGGTAAAATCTTAAACTATGGAAAATTACAAAAATGAATATTTTCTTCCCTGAAATCAGAGCTTACATGTGTGTTTTTTTCATAAAATTTTCAGATAAATGTATTCAACATGTAATACAGTATTTTAACATTCACCTCTCATTTTATATTGAAATGTATTACAGTATTAAAACTCAGTGTTCAGTATTTATTTCACTATGCATATTATTTAGTAAAAGCCAGGAGAAATGTTTAATCCAATGGTGCCTTACTTTGTGATTTAAAAGAAGTCAACTTTTTTTATGTCTAAGTAGCAGATTATTTGCATATTTGTAAAAACTGTTAGGTCTTTATATTTTAAATTGTAATACCAGTTTTGTTATTTTAGTAGCAGAAATGGGATGATTGTTAAAGTTCCCAAAAAATGTTGGCGTGAAATTAATTTTTTCCTCCTTATAGTCAAGGACCGTAGAGGAAGAAAAACATTTTTTTCATGCCATGCACTATGTAAACAGACACATTTTGGTATCTGTGTCATCAGGATAGTGTAAATGGTAGGGTAGAGACTCCCCTAGACATCTGCATCTTTGTAAGTTAGCCAGACAATAAAGAAAAGCAGAATGATATGGTGTCAACTGGTGGTTTTTCTTTTAAGTATTGTTTATGTAAATATAAACAAAAAACAAGGGTCTGTTTTCTGTTTTCAACTGTGGAAAAGGAAGACAAAAAAAGGTTTGTATAAGTAAGTATTCATTGCACCTACTTGCTAATCCAATCTTCGTTTTTTCTGAGAATCTGCATCTTAGTCAAAATCTGTTTACTTGAGGCAGATGTTTCTACGAGGAGGTAAAGATGGATGGCTGAAGCAATGGATGATGAAATGACAAAGACTGGCATGGATACTGATAAATACAGGGAAGGCCAATGGGAATTTAGGAGCCTGATAACTTTCTTAATTATCTGCTGTATGTGTATATACAGATCTCAATATAGAAGAATGGCTAAGAGCTTAAGACCTGGCTCTTACTTGCAAGTCACTTCACTAAACCTGTTTCCTTATCTATAAGGTGAGGAACTATCTTATAGCATTAATATATGCATAAATGAGATAATGCACTCAGCATTTAGCCTTAGTGTAAGCACTCAATAAGGAGCAGCCACTATTAGTGTGAAGTCGGAAACAAATATTTATATAATGATCCCAAATTAACTGAAGCCAAATACACTAGAAGGGGATGTACTAGTGTACTTTGAAAGGAAAGGAGCACTAGCTCCTAGATTGAAAAAACATCCATATCAGAAATGCAAAGCAACCTCTACATAAGTAAGGGCCACCTCACCTACTGTCCTCCCTGTACCTCCAGGCCTGGAAAATGAAATTTTATCGTGCTTCAGTCATCAAAGAAATATTATTGGGTTCAGTATGAAATAACAGAAAGTAAGGGCCAGAAAGAACCTCACAGATAGGGCGACCTTAGAATTTATGATCCACAATGGAACATGTTTGAGAGTGGAAGCGGTGCTAATAGTTGCAGTGGCAAAACAGGTTTAAGTCTGGGTTGCCTTGGAAAATTGGGCCATGTGGTCACCCCACTCAGAGGTCATCCAGTCCAACCGTCTGGGCTCACAGATGGGCAATTTAAGGCCCTAAATGATGTACTGATGACGGACAATGTGACTTCTCACTGTACTGTCCCATCTTCATAGTCCTTCCTGCCTCTCTCTGTCACTGTTTCATGTGTCTTTCGCATTGGCTGGAAAGAAAAGGCCAAATGAGAGGTTACAGCGTCACAGCAAAAGCCTTGCACCCACAAACCTGCGTTTGGATTCTGGCTCTGCCACTTGCTCCCTGTGAGGCCATAGACAAGTTATTTAAGTCTGAGTTCTAGCTTCCTTGATTGCAAAATGGTTACAAAGCTTAAATAATACACATCCAGAAGCTTTGTAGGTGGTTTATTGAAAAATAAATAAATAAATTTTAAAATAAATAAGTAAATATGCAAAACTCAAGCAAGATACCTGGCACATGTTAGGCACTCAATGAAAATTAACTCCATTTCATTTCTTAATCATTTTGCCATCAAACCTCGGCCTTATTCATGACGGAATTCTCAAACACAGTCAAAGAAGTCTTGACAAAATTCAGTTACAGAATCTTTAGGAAGAAAAACCACTTTAAGTCTGGCCTCATTTGTTCAAAGTGGAAGTATTTATTTGATTCATCCATTTAGTAAGTTTTTATTGAGCTCTTACTGTTTACCAGCTTCACCATAAATGACCTATTAATAACTGGTATCCCCACCATGACTGTAGTGGTCAAGCGATCTCTGAGTGGCAGTTAAGGAGGCCAGCAACCATTCCAAACAGGCATGGGGGCAACTTTAGTCACCCAAGCCACAGAGGGCTTGCATACTAGTGGAGAAGACACATTAAAATAGTTCTTGCCGCCTTAAGTAATTCATTTGCTTTCTTTTTTTCTAATCTCAATGTCACAGTAAATTCCACTAGTTTTTTAAAAAATTGTTAAACCTACAGGAACCTTGAAAAAAACAGTATTTAGAAGGATTTTTGATGACCAATAAGTTACCTCTTTTGGGTTTTGATTAATTTGGAAGGTAAATTCAAGGATTCCGAGTTCTCTAAACATTCCAACTAATTGAAGGCTCCCTGGGTACCTAATAGTCACCAGTTCCCTTCTCCCTTGTCTTCCCCCAGCCTCACTTCCCTCCAGCCTGAAAACTTGGTATTTAATGTCTATGTCTGGAGTTACATTTAGCATGTACGTGTTTCTCTTACTGGTAAATGTTTAGAAATGTCCCACTCATCAACATTATAGCACAAATACCTTTGTCTTAAAATGTTGCTTCCATTATTACATAGGTGCATTTATAAGAAGCTAATTAAGCTCGAGCTTTGGGATCCCCCACTTGCAAGAGGGGGGTTCCTAACTATTTATTATTATTTTTATTTTAAAGGGTCTCATTCTGTCACCCAGGCTGGAGTGCAGTGGCATGATCATAGCTCACTGCAGCCTCAGATTCCTAAGTTCAAGCAATCCTCCTGCCTCAGCCTCCTGAGTCACTGAGACTGACAACAGGTGCGCAACCATGCCTGGCTAATTTTTTAATTTTTTTTTTTTTTGTAAAGAGGGGTGGTCTCGCCATATTGCCCAGGCTAGTCTCAAATTCCTGGCCTCAAGCGAGTCTCCCACCTCAGCCTCCTAAAGTGCAAGGATTACAGGTGTGAGAGACTGTGCCTGGCTGGGGCTTCAAGTTAAATTCTCATTTTCATATCTAGTGTTTTATTTGTGATTTTATATTATTTTTCTTAAATAGGACATCTTATATTGTCTAAAGCTTCAGACCTCACAAAACCTGGACCTGCCCTTGCAATTCTGCCTTGCTCAACTTCTGGTGGAGAACTCAAACCAAAGTGAATGTCTTAAAAACTTTAAGCCACCAGCTTCCTGTGAGTGACAGGTATAAGAGAACCAAAGTGTTTGCCTCCTTCATACTCCCTGAGTGACCGGTCATTGTCTCTGAAATAACGTGGTCATTGCATTGCCCACATTGCATTAGAGTCAAAAGCCCCAGAACGTGACCTATCTAAGAAAATACGTTTGACCTTTGAGGTCCCTGGAAAACAAGTCCAGCTGTTATTAGACGTTGAGCTCAAATTCAGCTTAAGTTTTGGCCAGGAAGATGCCTGCCAGAACACCTGGAATATCCATCATGGACTTAATACGTTTTAGTCATAGGGACTCCCACCGTTTTCCTGTTTTCTGTCTGCCTTGGTAAGTTAAAGTTCACCCATCAAAATGCTATCTATCTCAGATCAGTTCCAGAAACAAAGAGCAGCAAATAATTGGAAAAACCCACATGATTTAATGGAGCTGTTGTACTCCCTGATATTTATTTGTACATTTACTTACTCAAATCATCAACAAAAGTTGAGGAACTATAATTTATTAAGCACTAGGAATATAAAGACATACATGATATAATAGGAAGTTTTTAAATACTAGTCCCAGAACCAAGTGTGAGTTTAAATGCTAGATCTAACAAAAACTTCAGCCAGTAGGTACAACCCAACCCCATCCAACAACTGGTTCTGGAATGCATCTCATCACAGACATAGGGCTGTTTGGTTGGCTGTGAGCATGCAAGGAAAATTCCCACTCATGCTTGCTCCTTCGAGATTTACTCTTGGAGCAAAAGCGTGGACAGTCCCAAAGGAGGCCACCATGGGAAAATGAAAAAACATCTAACACAGTAATGAACAGTAATTTTATACCATCAAGACACACTACCATGGTCAGGCACAGTGGCTCACACCCGTATTCCTAAGACTTTGGGAGGCTGAGGTGGGAGGATTGCTTGAGTCCAGGAATTCAAGACCAGCCTGGACAACATAGCAAGACCCTGTCTCAAATAAATTTTTAAAATTAGCCGGGCATGGTGGCATATGCCTATACTCCTAGCTACTCAGGAGGCTGGGGCAGGAGGATCACTTGAGCCCAGGAGTTTAAGGTTGCAATGAGCTATGATCCTTCCACTGCACTCCAGCCTGAGTGCCACAGACCCCATCTCTTAAAACAATAAAAAAATTTTAAAAAGAAGACACTCTGCTTAATTTATGTATCTAAATAACAACACAAATATTGTCTTTCTTTTTCATATAACCACCACCAATACTACAATTTGATCTAGGCTCTTTACAAATATTGCCAATCTTTGTATCGTTACACATAGAGAAATCAAAGCCTGAGTGGATTAGAAATTTGCCTCAAGCCACTTGCCTTAAGTGGATGAGAATTCAAACTCAAAGCTGCCTGATCAAGTTTGAATAAGGAGTAATATCATTGTTAACTTTTCATTTGTCAGTTTAAAAAAAGAAGGCTATTTCCTATCAGTAAGAACCTATAATGAGCCAAGACAATGGAAGACCTCATTTGAGAATGAGATAGTTGGCTCAACTGAATAAACATAGCTTCCTGGAAAGCTCCTCCATTGTTCTCACTTTCCTCATTGGACAGTGGACTGGCTCTGCATTTACCACCTGGGGCACATTGCTTCTTGGATGTGATCCAACTTCTTTTGGTTCTTTGCAGTTTAGGGGGTGGTTATAATCCCTGCCTTGAAGTTTTAAAAAGGATATTATATAAATTTGCTTTTCAGCTCATCTTATCAGATACCTGCTACCTTTTAAGGTGATCTCAGAGAAGCCAATAAAGTTCAGATGTCATTTCATTAAGCAGTTACAGGTTACGGGAAATCCCCATGTCAGAATCAAACTGCAGTGTGCCTAGTTAATTTGCTTTCCTGTGAATCTCCCTTCCCTTGTACTGTTCATTATTTATATTTCTACTGTTCCTATCATAAATTTATAGTATTAAATTTCTTTTTCACTCTCCTTGGAGTTGGAAAATCCATGTGGCTCTTTTAAATACCAAATAATAGGATTTGCTTTTCGGTAATAGCCAGAAGTAAACCTTGTGTTCTTTGCCTCCTCATACTACCTAACACTCCGTAGAGCAAAAAGACAGTCATATTCAACACAACTGAAAAGAGTGGCTCCACAGTTTTCAGGCATTTTTACATACCTTATGTCATCTGTACCCCACA